AAACCACACACACAGACACCCACACACTCAGGAAGAAGGAATAAACCAACCTGATTTTCTGGGATGGCTGCACTGGCCTAAGACCCCACATCTTCAGGTCGAGGGCAGGAGACTAGAAGATCAGATAGGTTATTTATAGTCAACCATCTACACCTGCTTCTGCACTCTGTCTCTCATACCCCTCCTCACATCTTCTGACTGTCCTGCAGGTCTGGAAGAGCCTGTCTCTTGCCTTACCAGCCCTGGAGTCCCACCTCCATCCTTAGTAAGGGAGCTCCTTACCTGTCTTCTTTCACTGTGGGAAAGTGAACTCCAGCTTCTGTCTCTGCCCTCATCCCAGATCAACAGAGAGAGAGGTCAGCAGGACCTCTTGGATCTCTCCTCCTGACTTCTGCTCTACCTTATCCCTTATCAATTCCTTGTTCATCTCATTCTTGCCTGGGCCATTGCCCCAGCTTTCTAAATGTCTCCCTGCTCCAGGTTCTTCCCTTCCATTTGTCCTGGTATAAGGAACCTGCCAGATTAATAATCCTAAGCAGTGCTGAGGTCACACTTGTGCTGGCAGCTTCCCAATTCAGGACAAATTAGGGCTGGATCCCTTTGAGGCCCCTTGACCACTTCTCCAACTCTTGCTCCCCCAGGCCAGTTTCCCTTCTGTTTTCTCCAAACATCTTTCTCTCCTCAATCAGTTCTGCAAATTGTCTGTGCTATAGAAACAGCTTGGGGGCGCCTAGGTGGCTCAGTTGGTTAGGTGTCTGACTTCAGCTCAGGTCATGATCTCAAGGTTTATGGGTTTGAGCCCCACACCGGGCTTTTTGCTGACAGCGCAGAGCCTGCTTTGGATTCTGTCTTCCTTTCTCTCTCTCAAAAACATTGAAAACAAAACAAAATTGTTCGTTTCCTTCTTTCGTTCACAGTGGGGCATTTACTACCTCTCATGACTGCAGTACAGTGCTTTATAGTTTATAAGCACGCTCAAAACTACCCTGCCCTGCACTGAGGTTAGCCCTGTACTCCTCTCACCTGCCCTGTACTGAGGTTAGCCCTGGAAATACAGTGGTTAGTGATGTGGAAATGTGGGGGTTAGGAGCCAATGGCCAAGAAAGAATTCTTGACACATCTTTAGTGCAAAAAGGTGGTTTTATTAAAGCATGGGGACAAGACCCGTGGACACAAAGAGCTGCCCTGGGATTATGAGTGACTGATTATATATGATTTTCTACCCTATGGAGGGGAGGGTGATGACAGGGTCCCAGGACTTTGAATCTATAGGTTTCTGGAAGTTTGGCTATTGATAAGATCGCTTTTTTTTCTTGTAAATCATTAAGACAGTTGCAAACTGATACAGACTCAAGTCCTGCCTGACTGTGATCTCTGTCAGTTAACCACTAGTTTACTGTGATCTTTATCAGTTAACCACTTGTTCCTCCCTCCAGCAAAGCATTAAGACAATTGGGTGTTCCTGGAGGAATGTTATACTCTGCCTGTTTCAAGTATTTGTCAAGTATTTGCTGCAGGTTATAAGGAAATTTATCTACATTTCTTTTACCTTTGTTATCCACATCAGTGACTAAAAACAGTTGTTGTGCCTTGAAGTCAACATAACCTGTTGAGGACCTTGGGCCCCAAAGTCCTCTGCCCCAAGATCATAAGTGGATTTGGGAGAGAAGATATTTTCCTACTGTCCCCTTTGCCTGCCCCAATCCCCACTCCCAATGGAAATATGGCCTCCCTGGACTCACAGGGACAAAAAAGGGAAGACAGAGAACAAGACTGTGGCTTGCAGAAGAGGACTTTACCAACCACATGAGCATCACAGGAGGGGCTGTTGGGATGTTGCAAGCCCAGTATAATGGGCCATTAAACTTTTACAAAGCTAAATAGAGGTTAACACTTGTCTCTATTGCAACATCTTTATTTCCTTCCCATAACTACCACACCCATAGTAAGGAACATTTATTTGTGTAAGCCTAAACTAAAACTTTGGTTTCAGAGCCTCAGTTTCCTCAGTTGTAATATGTGGTTAGAAGTCTCTGGTATTTTCATGGGGTTGGTAAAATGATCAAACGAGATAAAGGTACATGTAAGAGTTTTATGGAAGTATAACGTACAATGCTGTCAAAAGTTCAGAAATAACAGAAGTAAAACCAATGAGTCATTGAAGTAGTAAAAGTTTACTGTGCACACTCCAAAATAAAGAGTTTGCAAACTAGGAGCACTCAAACCAAAACATGGAATGAGGTTCACTGTTGTCACATATTGTTATAAAACAGCTTGTTTAGTGACAAAACAGTGACTGTTTATTCTTTACTGTGATTGGTTGTTTATGGTGTCTAAATGGGTTATCTGTCTTGATAGATGGGGCCTCCAAAATGTGGGGCAAAGATCAGGTGGAAGCTGCTGGCTCGGGAGGTGAAAGAATTCACCTTCAGCAAACAAAGGAAACAGGTTATTGAATACACCACAAGGGAGAAGCAGGCAAAACAGCAAAGGAGAAGCTGTGGACAACAAGGCAGTGGGTGGGGGCTGTTTTTAAAGGGGGAAGATGAGGTACGGCCACGTATGGAATTCTCCCTTTTTTGGTAACTATGCCTGGTTGTAAGTAGCCCATTGGTCAGTTAGGGCCTAGGGATATTTTGAGGTGGGTGGCCCAATGCGCCTGTCTGTACTCAGCCAGGGAGCCCTTGTGGGCCTTTTCTACATTCCATTGCTCAAGCCTGTTTGCCTACAAGTGGCCTCTGCTGTTATAACATTAAAATTTTCTTAAATGATAGGGAATTGGTCAGTGGTTACTTCTTATGAAACTTGGGAAACAGTTTGCTTATGATTTCTAGAGGAAAAAGCAAGAAATGACCCAGGTCAAGTTAGTCTTGCAAAATAAGCTAAATTAAGCCTTGTTTGTTTGACTAGACTGGTTTTGTCCTCTCAGGGAGTTTTCAAAGCTGGTCTCTGTTTGTTAGCTTATTTTGCAATCCTGTATTTTACAATTACAGCACATCTCATTTTGGACTAGCCACATTTCAAGTGTTCAGAAGTCCCATATGGCTAGCGTGCTGGACAGCACATGGTAATTAACTATGTAAATAAAAATTAGTTAAAATCTGTGTACTCAAGGGTTCCAAAATTCTTCTGATATTTATTTAAATTCTGTGTTATTCTGGGGAGGTGGATGTTTAGCATTTCCATTTTGTAGATGAGAAGCGGCAGCAATTGTGTGTAATTCACCCAAGGTCATCAGCTAATTTGTGGTGAACTTAATCCTTGCATTGGAATCTTGGAATCTGGGCACTTTCTCTTCTGCTTCCTTTTCTTTTTTTTTTTTTTTTTAAATTTTTTTTCAACTTTTTTTTATTTATTTTTGGGACAGAGAGAGAGACAGAGCATGAACGGGGGAGGGGCAGAGAGAGAGGGAGGCACAGAATCGGAGACAGGCTCCAGGCTCTGAGCCATCAGCCCAGAGCCCGACGCGGGGCTCGAACTCCCGGACCGCGAGATCGTGACCTGGCTGAAGTCGGACGCTGAACCGACTGCGCCACCCAGGCGCCCCTTCTGCTTCCTTTTCTAAACAAGCAGTACAAAGGGAAACTTTGTCACACATACAGGTCCCAAAGCTGACTGCACTAGTGTGCAAAAAGGCACAGTCCTTTCAAATCCACCTGTAATCTCCTCTCCTCTAAAAATCCTGCCCAGTTTAATCCCACCAGAATCTATGAGTTCCATTATTCTAAAAACGTGTGTTAGATTAAGCACTTCCCAGCTCAGATGTTCTAGGAACGTAAATGATACAAATGGGCATACAAAAATCCTCTCTCTGATATTCTCTATGACGCAGTGATTTACATTTTAACTACACTTGAAGGGTCCAATGTGGTGTTTCAGCGTCCCAAATAGGTAAGACATGAGATAAAGACTCCTCTCTTCCAGTCTAAAAAAGCACATATATGCCAAAGGTTCACACCAAAACATAACCAGACCCAACTGGCTATCAGGGAAAGAAGCTACTAATGCAGGGTTTCTCTAGAAGGAGATGCAAGTTACGTCGCGGGGAGGAGGGGAGGGCAGAGCAGGGACCAGGCTAGGACTCCTCCCTAAGGCTGAAGAGATGCCAAAGGCAGCTGACTTCCCTCCTGACCTGACAAGCTGTCCCATCGTGGGCCCCGAGCAGCCTGGAGGAGTCGGCTGAGTGCTGCAGGAGCCCCAGCCCGGCTCCTAACCATGGCTAGTATTCCCCGCCCCCCTCCCCTTCTCGCTCTTTCCCTTTTCCAATTCCGTGTAAAGGAGAGTGGGGTGGTAGTTGGAGGGCAACAAAAGTTTTGTAGTCTATGTCCCCGCAAATACCCTCCCTGCACAAAGACTTGAACTGAGCGGGTACTAAGAGCTGACCGCCCCCTTATCCGGGTTGCAAGGCCAGCCTCGAGGGCTCTTCTTTCCCAGCCCAATTCTAGTTACTTCCGGTTACGCACATTCGGCACGAGCGCAGCAAAAAGTCTGCGTGGTGCTTGTACGCGCAAGCGTGACTTTTGCCATCTCCAGGCAGGTGCCGGGTTGGCCATCCTAATTTTTAACGCAGTGCCCCTAACTTGTGCGCTCAGCGCCCCGGGGGCCCACATCCACTCAGGGAACTGGTCGCACCTCAGTCTCAGAGTCCGTCACCGACAGCCAACGTGGCTCACAGGCTGTGCGCACGCGCGAGGCGGGGCTGCCAGCAACTTCCGGGCGCTGGGGGGTGGGCAGGGCACTGACGTTTCCAGCAGGTGGGAACCGGACACACCTTTCTGGCTCCTTCATTTGGAATCTGGTATCATCTCCGGAGGCAGGGTCCAGTTGGTGGGGAGGGATCCGGCCGGGGTCCGGAGTTGCCGCAGAGGCCCTCACTGGTTCCGCCCCAGGCTAGCGGCGGCTCGCTGCGCCACGCCCCGCGCAGTCAGCTGGACGGCGCGGACGTTCACGTGACGCGGGGCGGGGCGGAGCGGGCAGGTGGGCGGGAGGAAACCGAACAGCGGGATCGGCGGCTGCGGCGGCGCACTACCGGCATGGCCGCTCTCTACGGGGGTGTAGAGGGGTGAGTGCGGCCCGGCGGAGGGAACCCGGGAGGGGCGGCTTGGAAACGGTCGGAGGGCGGAAGGAAGCCCGTGCCCAGGCTGGCAGGCTGGGGACCTCCCACTTTAGGGTCTGGCCGCTTTAGGCTTCTGAAGTGCGGGGGCCTTGCGGAGGAGGGGTGTGTGCAAGCGCAGCGATGCCTTTCCGCGCGGGATCGTGTGCCGTGGCCACAGCCGGGGCGCGGGGTCTTTTATGTTTCACGGTGGAATCACACCTCTTTTTCCCACGAAGACCCACTCCACCGGCCCCAGCTAGAGAAGTTCCTTTTCCTCATTCCCGACCCTGGAGAGAGTTTGGCTGAACTGGTGTCAGGTGTGAAGTTGCTGGACTGGGGTGGGGAGTGGGAGTGTGGTGGAAGCCAGGACAAAGACCTTTGCCAGAGGGTAGCCCAAGTGCTAGCCTGTACCAGTGTCTGGAACCCCTCTGTTCTTGTCGGCACTTCAGGCTCCTCACGCTAGATCGAGCCCGCTGTCATTCTTGGATTTTTCCTGCTTAAAAGCTCGTTTACTGGATTTTTTGTAATAATGCTTCCTGTATGACTGTGGGCAAGACTTTGGCCCTATCTGGGCTTTTATCACATGTGTAAAGTGAGAAGAGGGATGAATGAGAGGATTGCCAAGTCCCCTGCCAGTGAAAGCATTCTGTGGATGTGGGTGTGTCAAACCCGAGCTTAATAGAGGGTGGCTCTTGTCTCAGCCCAGGTACTTACTTTTGAATCTGAAATTGGGATTACCTCTGTGGCAGCCACATCCCACTGCTGGCTCGCAACTCAATGTCTTTTTTTTTTTTAACATGAATTTTTAAGGTTGATCTCCCCCATCCTATCTGTTAAAAAAAAAAGTACAGGAGCTTGTGTTTATCCATGTTCTATTCATGTGTAAGATAATGACCTATTTTTCTAGTTTGTCAAATTCTTTTGGATACTGAATCTGCCACCTCATGCATTGACTACACCCTTGAAACTTCTTGTCGTCTTTGAGTTTGAACAGTGGGACGTTTGGTGTCCTCCTCTGATATTCCCAAGAGTACTGATCGATAAAGAAACGTACATCACACCACCACAGACCTCTCACCAAACTACCAATGACCATTTCCCCCATTAATAAGCATTTTGCCATTTGGTTGCCTAAGTAGGCATAAACTCTCCCTGCCATCTGGCCAGTGTTTCTCCCAAGGGTTTCTTGAAGAACTGGGAACTGGACCTTGAAAGGCAGCCTTTAGCTATTGTGAAAGAAGCAGAGATGTGTGCCATTCCCTTTAGTCACATTTACTGAGTCTGGCTGTGCCAGGCATGAGGGTGGACACATGATCCAGAGCTTGGTCCCTTGGAGCTGGTAGTCTAGTGAGAGGCAGATAGGAAAACATCTAAACATTCTTAACAGAATCTTGAGAATTATGGGGGCACTGATACAGCTTAACTGAGGCAGCCGTGGGGGTTGGGGTGGGCCACATGTCAGAGGTCTCAAGGACCAGGTGATCGAGAAGTAGGGTCTTGCAGGATAAGTAGGACATTCCCAAGGGAGGCTGAGCAGGAACGTTTCACTTCGGTAGCACATCAAACACCAAACCACAGAAGTGGGCTTGGGCACGGGACTTGGGTTTGCCGAAGCTGCCTCCATCTCACTGGACTCTGCCTGTGACAAGGACTGCATAAGCTTAGCCGTACCTGCAGGTTTGTCTGAGTAAGACTGAGTGCCACCTTGTGTTCTGTAGGGGAGGCTCACAGTCCAAGGTCCTTTTACTCTCAGAGGATGGGCAGATCCTGGCAGAAGCGGATGGACTCAGCACAAACCACTGGGTAAAGACCACAGTGAGGGACCAGTGGGTTTGGTTGTGCTTTTATTCTCTGTAGCTCCCATTAAGGTGGTGGTTGGGGCCACTTACAGCAGCCTCTAGGGGCAACACAGGTCATGTAAGCCTTTGTAACTTCTCTTCCCTTGCTTGGGGCCAGCTGATCGGGAAAGACAAGTGTTTGGAGAGGATCAACGAGATGGTGAACAGGGCCAAGATGAAAGCGGGGGTGGATCCTCTGGTCCCTCTACGAAGCTTGGTGAGTCTGGGATAGAGCGTGGGAATTAAGTCACAGAAACACAGCGATTTTCACTAGATGAGTCTGATAACGACAGAGTGAAAGGCCTTGAGGGCTTAGTCTCTGGTGTAGAAACACAGATTCTCACCTGTTCTTGTGGCTCAGCACAGAGCTTGACCTATAAGCATTCATTAAATGTTAGCCGTTATTCTTAGCTCAGATGTTTCTCTCAAGTTGCTGTAGTGCTGACCACTCCCTGGCCATAGCCTCAGTGAGATGTTCTGCAGGCCCAGCTAAACCCCATGTGTTCCAAACCAAGTCTGTCTCCTCTGCTTGCTCTTCTGCCTGTTCAGGGCACTACTGACCCTCCCATGCTACAAACCTGGCATTGTTGAATCGCCTCTTTGGGTTCATTCCCAGATCAGGTTCCTCTTGCAGCCACAGCCCTCTGATGGGTCATGTTTAGGGTAGAAGGAGGACTTACGCCCCGACGTAGAGAGAAGGGACAGACACCATGAAGGGAGGGGGTTGCGAAAGGAGCTGAGTCTAGGGTGCTGCTCGCTAGCTCACCTCCCCTGCGGCCTAGGGCCTGTCCCTGAGCGGAGGGGAGCAGAAGGACGCGGTAAAGATGCTGACGGAGGAGCTGAGGGACCGATTTCCCTACCTGAGTGAAAGCTATTTAATCACCACCGATGCTGCCGGCTCCATCGCCACGGCTACGCAGGATGGTGAGGAGAAGGGAGGGGTGAGATTGAGAACTGGTTTTCTTGGGAAAGCCCCTTCAGGATAGCCAGCAGAACTTGTCTTACAATATCTGGAAGGCAGGCGTCAGCATACCCCGTTTCCTTCTCCCTGTTCTTTTTATTGGCTTAAGTTCCTGTCAGAGCAAGGCCCGGACAGAAGGTGGGAGGGCAGAACAGTATCTTGATGGGAGGCAAGAGTGAAACCTAAGAGTGTACTGCAGAGGAGGGAGCCCCTGGGGCAGTGCGGGGATGAGGATGGCTGGGAAAGCAGTCAAGTGCTAAAAAGAAAATGGGAGGAGCTCTGTGGTAGCAGTGTAAAAGGGCCTTGGTATTATTGCAAGATCAGCATTTCAATCTCTGTTCCTATTTTGCCAGCGTACCATCTTGGAGAAGTTCTAGAACTCTCTGAGTTTCAATTTCCTCCACTCTAAAATGGGGCAGTTGTATTCACAAATGTAGTTTAGGATGTTGAATCAGTATCACTGTGTGAACAGGATCTGGCGTAATCCCTGGCTCATAATAGGCACTCAGTAAGGCAGGTAGTCTCTTGGCTGGGAGAGGAGACAGGCTCGTGTTCCTCTTGTCTTCCAGAGAAGGGCTCTGTGTAGACTGGAGCTTCTTTGAGACTCAGGCCCTCCACTTTCAGGCAGGAAACTAGCTGGGCTCGGTTATGTCTACAAGATTGGGTGGTGAGCCCAAGGCTGGTTTCTGTCCTGTCTTTCCTCAGAAGCTGTGTGCTCCGTGGGGGGCCTTGACTACACTGAGCCTCCCATGCCCTTTCCCCAGGTGGGATCGTGCTCATCTCTGGGACAGGTTCCAACTGCAGGCTCATCAACCCGGATGGCTCCGAGAGTGGCTGTGGCGGCTGGGGCCACATGATGGGGGACGAGGGCTCAGGTGAGCTCATGCTAACTGGGCCTGGCTCTGGCTCGGGGTCCTGGACCCTTCTCTTCCTTCACCTCCCCATCTGCCTCTCCCCTGCCCTTGGCCCCCGACCCCTTGGGGCTTTCTCAGACAGCTCCTGAAAAATTGTTCTGAGTACAGGATAATGACTGAGAGGTGCCAGACTAGTGGTTGACCTTAGTCCTCAGCAGTGATCTGTATCCAGATTCAGATTCATGCCTCAGCGTAATAGCTGTTGCCTACCTGTGTTCACTTTTGGAGTCCTTTGGGAGAAACTGACACTATGAAAGTTAAGGCCATAGGTGCCAGGACATCCTGTATCAGTCTGCTAGTAGGAGAGAGGTATAGAAGCTCCTCCTGCATGACCTCTTCATAGGTAGCAGGTGTATATTTTCATAGGGGCCTTTGGGGTCAGCTCATGGCAGTGACTACAGTGGTTTGTGTGACAGCTGACCGACTTTATTTTGGGGTAGGAGCTAGTGTGACACAGCTTCCGCTGTCCTGTCTTCCCCCTAGCTTTCCCTTAGTGGATTGGTCAGGTACAGTTTAAACTGAGGCCCCAAGGCTGGGAGTTGGGGCACCTAATTTGCTGTAATACCCATGCTAATCATTGACCTGTCTAGGTCTGAGTTTCCCTATCTGTGAACCCAGGGAGACTGCCCCATCTACTTAGTCCTCTCTGCTTTCCACAGCCTACTGGATTGCACACCAAGCAGTGAAAATAGTGTTTGACTCTATTGACAACCTAGAGGCGGCTCCTCATGACATTGGCTACATCAAACAGGCAATGTTCAACTATTTCCAGGTACTTCCCCCTGCCTCTGGTAAACATGCACACCTGGGATGGGCAATGGCTGCTGAGCAGGAGGGAATGTAGATGGATGAGCCAAAGGGAAGTTGGGGTGAGTTGTGGGTCAGAGCTGGAGGATGGAAAAGTTCCAAGTGAGGACAGGATTCATAATGATGTAGGTGATACATTCCATGAGGTTGTCAGGCATGAGGAATAGGTAGGCTGGGGACAAGTGGTTAGCTAGAATTCATTCTTGGGCAGCTAGACCCTGCTGGGAGATGAAGGCAGATGCCATTTTAGGCTTGAATGAGAAGTGCAGGGTGAGATCAGGAGACTGTGTACTCAGAGACAGCAGGTGAAGGTTGCACAGGTGTGTTGGACAATGAGCTGTCTCTGGCCTGTATGGGTCAGGGAGGACAGCTTATTAAAGAGTTGGGCAGGGAAAGTTCTGAGGGAGGTATAATCTCCTACCCAGGGCATTAGGGACTGACTTTTCCTCTGTCTGGGCCATGCTTACTTGTAGTGGGTTAGGAAACAGCTGCCTTTAGCTGAACCTGAGGTAAAGGGGGAGACAAGGAAGAGAAATCTATTTGATAGACACCTCTGAGTGGGAGCTGCTTTACAGGGGCTAGGGATCAGCTCAGTGAAGGAAATTAGAGTTGCTGGAAGATAGGACCTGTGTTTTCAGAGTTCATGGATTGATGATTAAAGAGAAACTCTGGCCAGGGCCCAGGTGAGGGATGGGGAAGGACCAGGAAGAGAAATTACTTTGGACAGCAGTTGCCGTGGAAAGTGGAGTTAAGCTACCCTGACCCAACAGATTGGTTCTACACCCACCGATATATCTGCCACTCCCTCTTTTGTCCTTTAGTCATTCTTCTAAAGTCATTTCAAAGATTAAGAGAGACCATGTTCATAACATGCTTAATATATTGTTGTAGCTGCCCAAATTGTAGCCCCCTTGTTCCATTTTCGTAGTGTATTCTGGGGAAGCACTGGTTCCTCAGGACCTGCAGAGGCGGTTTGTTGGGGTGAAAGAAGGGAGAGAAGTTTGTGGTCAGAGAAGTTTGGGAGAAACAAATAGATTTCTTGGTTCTGGACTTCACAGGGCCTTTAATTTGCTAATGTGCACTGTGACTCAGGGTTGCAATGTGTGATAGTCCTTAGATTCCTTTCCCCAAAGAAATCTTTTCATGAGCAACTCAAGGAACTACTGAACACACCTTGGTGAGCCCAGATCTGTGATATGTGCTGTATGTATCCAAGCTAAGGACAAGGAGCGATGGAATCCATGTGGGGAAAACAACTTTTTTCAAATGAGAAATCTCAAATCTTTATATTCTCTAGAACTTAAGAAACAAACATTATTCCAGCTTTCCAAACAGAGACATCAGGAAGGTCAACTTGGGTGGGCCAGCTGGTTATTTTTCTTTGCTTCTGATAACTATCTGTGCCCTTTCTCTGTCTCTCAGGTGCCAGATCGGCTAGGAATCCTCACCCACCTGTATAGGGACTTTGATAAATGCAGGTTTGCTGGGTTTTGCCGGAAAATTGCAGAAGGTACTAGATAGAGGTGGGGCAGGGTTTTATTTAGTTTGTTTCTCAAAGACCTCCCTAATTGGGGGATAGAATGGGGTTCGTATGGAAACTGGAAGCTAATTTCCCTTTGACCAAGTGATTTCAATTCTCTGCCCCCGTGCGCCTTGGTACTGGTGGGCCTTGGAATGGAGCCTGAAGGACACGTGGGTTGTATGAAAATTATTTTATATTATCTATGTTTCTCTTCTTGACAGCTGTTATTGCTTATGCAGGCTATGTGTCTGTTTCTGAGAAATTTATGAAGCAATTCTTTGGTCACATCTATAATTAAAACAAAACAAAACAACTAATGATACCCAAAAACCTAGGAGGTCATAGAGAGGTTTGGCCTATTGGGTTGGGTGTCAGGAGAAACTAAACCATAGGGCTTGCTTGCCTGCACATTGCTTCTCCACTATAAGGTTCATACTCCTTTCATTTGATCCCTAAGGCCTCATGGCATTATAGGGCCCTCTTAGGTCTTGCTGGACTGAGACCTTTTCAGAGCAGAGCTAGGGAGGGGCTGACCAACAGCAGGCTGTTGGATGGGGGCTTAGGGGGGCGGGGAGGCAGGAGCACCAGTCAGCTGCCCAAGTAAGGTCTTGGGTCCCTAGAGGTGAGAGACCTTCAGGGATAGACTCAGTAACTGTGTAACCTGGAGTACAGACCAGGTGGCACTGTGCTCTTCCGGGGCGGTGGGGGGGCTGCCCCTTCTCATGCACGTGGGATGAACCTCCTCCATACAGGACACCCCTCCTAAGGTGGGAGTATGTGGTGTGGGCAGGGGAGTAAGGATGGAGAGACCGATTTGGAGGCTTGCTTACCTACATGCCAATGAGGTGGGCATCCATTCCTACTTTGCTAGCTATGGGTACTCCTGTTGCTGCCCTGCAACAGAGGGAATAGCAGAGGACAGGCAGCTCGCTAGGTATTCACCAGCTCCCTTCCCTCCCCTCTCCCCCAGGTGCTCAGCAAGGAGATCCCCTTTCCCGTTTTATCTTCAGGAAGGCTGGGGAGATGCTGGGCAGACACATTGTGGCTGTGTTGCCTGAGGTTGACCCGGTGAGTTGAGGTGGGAAATGAATCCTCATTTATCACCGCAGGTGGGATGCTGCGGGGCCAGATTTGACTCTTCTCATTAGGGTTGAGACTGTCCTATCAAACTCTGTAAATGGGGCGCAATTTTAAATGAGCTTAGGGTATGAGAAAAATTCCGTATAAAGTCTGTAACACATGGAAATTCTTTGGTCCAGAGCCTCCCCTCTGTGGCCGGCCTGCAACCTGTATTTGTATATAGTAAATTGGTTTAATGTGGTGCATGTTTTTGTCGATTTCCATCTCTTCCCTTCCCTCCTCTGTATTGTTGCTTAACCCTTTTTCCTTTCCTTTCCCTCCCTTGGTTTTATGAATCCCCCTGTTTTTCTCCCTTATTTTCCATACACCTTGGCTAGAGGGAGAATAACTGGGATAGGGTAGGCTGGACTTAAGAAACTACCCCACTTCGGCACTGGATAGGTTTGGTTGCCCCCAGTAGCCATTTCTGCTCTCCGCCAGGCCTTGTTCCAGAGGGAGATGGGCCTCCCCATCCTGTGTGTGGGCTCTGTGTGGAACAGCTGGGAGCTGCTAAGGGAAGGTGAGTATAGGGTGGGTGGCAGAAGGGGGTGCTTGGGAAAGCTGCCTGCCCAGGGAGGACTTGGAACCTGGGCCCAGAGGCTTGGATAGGCCATAGCCCTTAGCCTTCACTCTGCCATGGAGCCCTGATACAATGTCCCATCCAGCTTCCTTGAACTCTTTAAACGATGTTCTTTTTAAAGGATTTATTAAATATGCACCACTTTTTTTAAACACTTTATTTTATTTTTTGAGAGACAGAGACAGAGTATGGGCAGGGGAGGGGCAGAGAGAGAGGGAAACAGAGAATCCAAAGCAGACTCCAGGCTCTTAAGCTGTCAGCACAGAGCCCATTGCGTGGCTAGAACCCACGAACTCGAGATCATGACCTGAGCCGAAGTTGGACACTCAACCAGCTGAGCCACCCAGGCGCCCCTAATATGCACCACTTTTTAAAAATTAAAGATAAACCTCACTTAAAATGAGAGCTTCTGAGCAGCATGTGGTGACATTTGTAGTCAACACAGTCCCAGCCAGAAGGAAACCAACCCAGCATTGGTTGGTTCGGGTAACTGTGGTTTCCATTAGACATTCTGAAGTAGTTCAAGGACCCCATTGCTTCCTTGGAGTTCCTGGCATTGGGTGCTTGGTGGCTGCAGGCTCTAGGACCCCACAGCCATTACTGGGCTCCTGTACCCTGCTGCCCTGTTAGGGATTTGGCATGTGGGCCCCTCGAAGACCTGTGTGGGAATGCCTCAGGGCCTGGACCTCTTCTTTCCCTGTCTTTGTCCCACCTTCTCCTGGTCTCAACCACAGGGTGCTGGTCTGCTGTCACCTCCGTCATCTGCCCTCTTTCCCTCCAGGTTTCATTCTGGCACTGACCCGGGGCAGAGAGAAACAGGCCCAGAACTCCTTCTCCAGCTTCACCCTGATGAAGCTGCAACACTCCTCTGCCCTGGGCGGGGCCAGCCTAGGGGCCAGGCATATTGGGCACCTCCTCCCCATGGACTACACTGCCAATGCCATTGCCTTCTACTCCTACACCTTCTCCTAGGGGGCTGGCCCTGGCTCTACCACTACAAGCCCAGTGGACACTGAGTATTGGAAAGGCGGAGGCTTTTTTCCTTTTTTTTTTTTTATTTTTTAAAGAAAAACATATGAAAGAAAATAAACACACTTTACCCACTCCCCTATTGGATTGTGTTATCAAGCACACTTGCTGTGTACATCCTCAGGGCACCTGCCAGTAGGTATCCTATAAAGCTCAGGAATGGTTTTAGTCTAGGATTTAAAGCCCTGTGCCCAGGTACTTGGCCTGTGGTTTGCAATCTGCTTGCCACGCAGTTGCACAGAACATTCACGTGTGCCATCCCTCCCCAGCCCCCCCAACATTAGCATATGTACATGCTGTGCGGCTGCCAGTTAAACAGTGACCTCAGTTGTCTCCTGTCAAAATGGGTAATGATGCCTATACAGCCATTTTTAAGGAGCTAAAGGTTTTCTGTGGAGAACATCACAGGGACTAACCTTAGACACACCCTCACCTCCTGAGAGCCCCGGTAGGGTTTAGGGGACAGTACCATTCTGGTCTCAGAGAATTACCTCACTGGATTTGGTGCCTCTAGGTAAACAGCATATTTTGCAGTTTTTCCCCACGAATGAGTTCTTGAGAGGTTATGAGGATGACTTAGATCCAAGAAGGCCAATTAGACACAACTAGGTGGCCTCCATATTCCTGGTAACTCCTAGCCTGGCTCTGGTTATAGAAGACATTTTGCATTTGTTGTGTGACACATAATAATGAACATTGGTGAAGAGCAGATAGGATTCCTGTCCCCTGGATACTGTTGGTTTGATCAGTAAAGACCAGGCCAAAGCTTCCTGTTTTGCTGCCCATGCTGCTCGGTGAAGACCAAAGACAGAGTCTGTCCACAATGGCTGCTTCTGTAGATGTTCAGAGTGTAAGCTGTTAGAAGGCATGGACCATGTATCAGACATTGGTTCTCAAGCTTATGTGCATCAGTTATTCTAGGTTGTGATATCAACACAAAAGACTTTTGTCTTTCTCTTCTATAAGGTGTCTGATTCAGTAGGTCAAAGAAGAGGTGGAAATGTTCATTTTTGCTGAATACCTCGGGTGATTTGTGCTGCAGAGGTGCAGCACATGTAAAAAACTTTGAGAAGTTTTTTTTACATGATCTCAGGACCAGGATCAATCAGTATTTTGGATTTAGAATCTAAAACTTCATTGGTGGAGAGTGTACAAATAGAACATAAATATAAGAGTTCATATTCAAGAATATGGCCATCCCTCTTCCTTACTATTCATTGTCTAGGCTCTGCTATTCCAGTGGGACACTACAGGTTTTAGAGCCAAGCAAGGAGCACATTTTAATTGATTTTTTAGTCCCCATGCATAAGGGTTGAATAAATGTTAGTTGAGAAAAATAAAGGCAATATTAAAGTGCACAAGGTCAAATGTGTTCCTGTCTCCTCATCCAGTGTAATTTTCCAGCAGGAGGGCCCTGTTACCAGAGGTTGTGGTGCAGAAAGTCATAGTGATTTTTGATGAGTTTCTCCACCTTTTATTTAAACTTGTAATCTCCTTCCCTAATAAGATACCAGGAGTAACTAATGGGATTCCATGCTATGAAGGCGTTAGAGATGGATATATTTATCTCTCCTGAGCCTCAAACAGCCTTGTGACCAAGCAAAAGCATGGAACAAGAACGGGACTCAAATGAAGCCAGCACTGCTTTACTCTACCTGTGGGATTTCAGCAACAGCACAGCCTCATCTATATCATTCATTCAGCAAGCACTGAATGTCTCGTGGCTGTGATGGGTGCTCTGAGGATTAGAAATGAGTACCCCCCTATACCTCCTACCAACTGAGAAGTTGACAAAAATTTATGGAACTGCATGTTTACAATATCTGCTTTTCTGTAATCTACTTCAGTTAAGTTTAATAAAATGTTTTAGTGAATGAATACAACATTCCCATCTTCAAGGATGTGAATAAATGAATAGACATAACTATAGTATTTCAAAAAGGTCTAAACAGGCAAATCAGCTCAGATTCCACCCCCCCCCCCCCCTGCACCTGCTAGGGGAAGGAGGTGTATGAGTATGGGGTGGGTGGCAGAAGGGGGTGCTTGAGCCTGCCCACTGCCCAGGGACTTTGGAACCCCTGGTGGGCTTGGACAGGCCATGTGTATGGCACTTCACTCTGCCCATGGAGCCTGATGCAGTATCCCAAAGCTTCCTTGAACTCTTTTGTGATGTTCTTTTAAAGAGTTTGTTGTCAAATATACCACTTTTTTTAAACCACACTTTATTTTATTTTTTTGAGGGGAACCAGAGACAGAGCCATGGAGGCAGGGGGAGGGGTGAGAAAGGGAAACAATCCAAAACCAGACTCAAGGCTCTTCTGGCTGGCTTCAGGAGGCCCCATTCATGGCTACCTGGGAACTCCAGGCTGAGGGAATCCTTAGCTGGTGGTTGGACACTCAACCAGCTGAGCACACCGAAGAGGCGCTTCCCCTAATATGCACCTACTTTTAAAAGTAGAACCAAGTAAACTCCTTAAAAATGAGGGGAGCTTCTGAGGCAGCATGTGAGGTGACATTTGGAGATCAACACAATTGATCCCAGCCAGAAGGAAACCAGCATTGATTTGGTTGGGAGTAACTGTCCATTGGGCATTTTAAGTAGTTCAGGACCCCCAGCCCCAAGCTGCCACTTGGGTTCCTGGCATTGGGGTGCTTGGTGGCTGCAAATCCTAGGACCATGCACTGGGCTCTACCCTGCTGCCCTGGTGGTCCAGGATTTGGCATGGGCCCTCGAGACCTGTGTATTGGGGGAATGCCTGGGGCCATTCTTGCTTTCCTATAACATTCCCCACCTTCACTGCAAATTATAACCACAGGGTGCTGGTCTGCCTGTCACCTCATGATCCTATCCCTCTTTCCCTCTCAGGTTTCATTCCTGGCATGGCGCTGACCGGGCAGGGGGAGAGAATCCTTCTCCGGCTTCACCCCTGATGAAGCTGCAACCTCCTCTGCCTGGGTAGGGGCAGCCTAGAGGCCAGGCATAATGATGGTTTCCTATCCCCATGGACCACCACTGTAATGTGCTGTTTGCCTTCTGCACTCCTACACACACACCTTCTCTCCCCACAGGGGGCAAGCCCTGTCTACCACTACAAGCCCAGTGGGCCACTAGGAGAGTATTGGAAAGAAAATGGGCTTTCCTTTTTTTTTTTTCTTTTTTAAGAAAAACATATGAAAAATAAACACTTTACCGCTCCCTATTGGATTGTTGTTATCAAACACCCCCTTGTGTATCTCCCCGGGCACCTGCCAGTGATCCTAAAAAGCTTCGAGAATGGTTTAGTCTAGGTTCAAGCCTGCAATACCCCAAATTGCCAGCCTGTGGTTTGCAATCTGCTTGCCGCGCAGTTGGGGAGGCATTCTACGTGTGCCCATCCCTCCCAAGCCCCCTAGCATTAGCACTTCATGCACGTACTGCTATATAAACAGTTCATTGACCCTCAGTTGTCTCCTGTCCAAAATGGAGTGTGCCACACAAGCTGTTTTGCAGGGGAATAAAGGTTTCTCTGTGGAGACATCAGGGGACTAACACGCTTGACCACCCCTCACACCTAGAGAAGAGGCAGGTGGGGTTTGGGGGGACAATGCTGTTCCCAGTCTCAAGGAGAGGATTACCTCACTGGTTTGGTGCCTCTAGGGCAAGCAACCTCTTACTTTGCACGCAGTTTTTCCCCAAGATATGATTCTTGAGGAGGGTGCATGGGGATGAACTGTCCAAGAAGTGCAGTCAGACACAGCTAGGTGGCTGCTCCATATTCCTGTTAACTCTAACAATGTCTGGTTCCATAGCAGAAGACCTTTTGCATTTTGTTGTATGTGACACATAATAATGAACATTGATGAAGAGCAGATGAGTTCCCTGTCCCTGAGATGTGGTTTGATCAGTAAAATTAATTTAAGCTTCCTGTTTTACTGCCCCATGCTTTTCATATATTGATGAGAGAGACCAAGGCAAGGTCTATCCCACGAAATAGAAACTTCTGGCAAGGTCATGTTTTCAAATTACAAGCTGTTGCAGTGGACTCCTGTATCTCCCATCAGAACATTTAGTTTCTCCTAAACTATATGCATCAGAGTTATTCTGGGACATACCGATATCCACAAAAAGACTTGTCTTTCTCTTCCTACTAAGTGTCTAGATTCAGTGATTCAAAGAAGAGACTTGGAAATGTTGTTCATTTTAGCAGGCCTCAGGTGATTTGTTACTTACCTTGAAATTTTGCCACATATAGCTTTAAAGGGAGTTTTTTTTTACAGAGTCTCTCAGGATACAAGGGATCATTATTTTTGGTTGCAGATGTCTAAAACTACTTGATTGGAGGTAACACAATGAACTTTTTAATATAGGTTCATATTCAAGAGCCCATGGCCCACTCCCTCTTCCTTTTATTCTTGTCTGGGCTCTGCTATTCCGGTGGGATTTCTGGTTTGGAAACTAATTAGGAGCACATTTAATTGATTTCAGTCCCATGAAGAGTTTGAATAAATATTGGTTGAGAAAAATACAAGGGCTTAATAATGAAAGTGCTGGGGTCAATGACTCATGTTACCTGTCTCCTCATCCAATTCTTAATTTTTTTTCCAGCCAGGAGGCCCTAATTATTCACCCAGAGGGACATGTGAGTCCACAGTGATTTTTTAGTGAGTTTCTTACCTTTTTTATTTAAACTGTAATCTCTTACCTAACAAGATGCAACCAGGGTAACTAATGATTCCATACTATAGTAGTAGAGGTGGATATATTGTCTCCCTGGGCCTCAAAACAGCCTTGTAGCCAGATGCAGCAAAAAGCATGGAACAGAGCAGACAGGAACTCAAGCCTGCTGCTTTGCCACCTGCACCTGTGGGATTTCTTGGCAACACAGCCTCATCCCTATCATTCATTCAACCAAGCTGAATGTCTTGTCACCATTGGCTGTGATATAGGTGAATTGCTCTGAGAT